GGGTGGAGGCCCCCCCCCAGCCGCAGCTTGCTATCAGAGCAGCTGCTGGACAGGGGGAGGCTGCAAAGGCTGCAGCCCTGCCTCCTGGGTGGAGGAGAGTGGAAGCTCCCCTGTGCTCTGGTGGGGTCCCTCAGGCAGTGGAGGAGCTGCAGGGGGAAGGTAGCAGGCTATGCTGTATTAGGGAGGATGAACAAGAAACACTATTCTTTGAGACTTTGCAAGAAGTATTAGGGCCCCATGGCACTGACCTACAGACACTACTGGACAAAGAGCTTCAACACCAAAGTGACAGCACCTTGGAGGAGGTGCCGTGGTCTCTGGTGACCCTTAGGAACAGGCTATCACTATTTTATGTACCAACCAGCAACAGATATGAAGCCTTGGCAGCAGACAAAACCCATGAGCAAAATTCACAGGGAGAAGCCACACCAGCACCACATAGTAAAAGCTACAAAAGGACATGGCGGGTGTTAGCAATTTGTGACTGTTGAGAGGCGCTGAGGCATCTATCTGCCAGACACCGTGGTATACAGTGAAGGGAGGTTTGCTGCTTGCCAGTAGCCAAGATCTGGGATGTCATGGAGAGACGACTGCCACAGCTGGTTAAAAGCACAGACTGCTGTCACCTGCTTCTTTTCCATGTGGGCACCAATGACATGGTAAAGGAAAACCTGGGCAAGGTCAAGCAGGACTTCAGAGCCCTGGGGGTGCAGGTGAAAGGCACAGGTGTGCAAGTGGTTTTCTTCTCTGTTGCCAGTCAGAGACAGGGGTGGAGGCAGAAGTCGATGCATCATGCAGGTCAATAACATGGCTTGATGGCTGGTGTTGCCACCAGGGCTTTGGTTTCTATGATCACGTGTAGATTTTTGATAAATACAGCATATTGGGGATAGTATCCACCTACCAAGAAGCAGCAGGAGAGAGAGGATCCACCAACTGAGAAGCAGCAGGAGAATCTTCGCTAGCAGGTTGGCTGACTTAGTGAATTATGCTTAAACTATGAACTTGAGGGAATAGTGTCCAAAGCTATGACCAGTGCAACGTCCTGTACCTGGGATGACATAACCAAAGAGCCCAGCACAGGCCAGGATCTCTGTATGGCTGGGGAGCAACTTTGCTGAAAGGGACCTGGGCGTCCTGGTGGACAACAAGCTCAACAGGAGTCAGCAGTGCACTGCTGCAGCAACCAAGGCAAATGGGATCCTGGGCTGCATCTGCAGGGACATTGCTAGCAGAGACAGAGAGGTGATCATCCCACTCTTATCAGGTCACACCTGAGTACTGTGTCCAGTTCTGGTCCCCACAGTTCAGGAAAGACATGGACAGATTGGAGAGGATCCAAAGGAGTGCCATGAAGTTGATCAAGGGGCTGGAGAAACTGCCCCATGAGGAAGGAAAGACTGAAGGAGTTAGGTGTTTTTCTCACTGGAGAAAAGAAGGCTCAGGGGGGATCTCATCACAGTATTCCAATCCTTAAAGGGTGGCTACACAGAAGACAGAGGCTCTCTTTTCACAAGGAGCCACATGGAGAAGGCAAGGGAATGGACAGGGTACAAGTTGCACCAGGAGAGGTTTCATCACAATATAGGAAACTTTTTACAGTGAGAACAATCATTCACTGGAACAACCTTCATAGCAATGTGGTGGAGTCCACATCACTGGACCTTTTCAACTGAACAGGGTGCTAGATGATCTTATCTAGGCTCCCTTTGCCATGAAAGGTTGCACCAGAGGATCTTTCGAGATCCCTTCCAACCTGGGCTGGTTTTGATTCTGTGATTTATTTGCAAGGAGGAGAAAAAAAAAAAAAAAAAATCTCTATATATTCTTCTCATTCCCTCAGGAAAACATGACCAGTCTCTACCATCACCAAATAGATACTCCCACTTCTAGAGATCTCACTATCTGCCTCTGGTTTCCTTTCCAGAAGATCTAGCTACCCCATGAAGATCTACCTACACCAGGGCAATGAAAGAAAAGTTAAAATCAGGTTATATGGTCCTCGGTAAAGAGGTCTAATTATATCATCTCATATAGGTATGACAGTTGCCAGATTTATTAATGGCACTATATTATACATTCTTGCTGCTTTAGACTATCAGCACTTTACAACAAAAAAAACACTTCCTGTCAAAAATCAGTAGGTTTATTTCTTATGACTAGTGTACTATTAAAGCAATTTAACCAGAGTATAATTATCCCATTTATTGTTCCCACTCAAAAAACTTATCAAGCTGAAAGCTGAAAACATTTCCTCAAGACTTTCTAAAGGGTTTTTGCCTTTGGTTTGTCAGCAGTACTTGATTTCTTTTCCTATAACAATAATTTAACCAAAATACGGCTTACATATTTCCATGTGAGAAAAACAACTTTCATTTGTTATTGTTGGTTTTAATGAAATACTTGTAATTAAAATATTCTCATTAGTTTCCAAGTTTATTAAATTTCTCAGCTTCTTGCAAAAGAAGTATCTGGGTTTGTTTTGTACATTCTTTTGTTTGAGAAACTTTGAATGAAACATTAGAAGCTTTTACAGTCAATACACTGTGTACATACTTCAAAAGACAAATGCTTTACAGGACTGCAAGGAGTTCAGACATCTCCTTAGGCTGAATAAAAACCTAAAAGGAGAAACTGCCTGGTATAGTGTAGAACTCCTATGGTACACACAGCGCATAAACAAATCCTAACTTGGACTATTTCAAAAAAATGCAGGTTCCTTTTGTATCCATCAAGGAACAAGAATACTACATAATACAACTGTTTGACAAGATTAGCAGTAAGGTTTTACTTAAATTAAAAAAAAAAAAAACATGACATGATATACCTATGAGATTGAAAATGTTTTATCAATTTTTAAACAAATTATTAAAAGAAATAATATAAGGTATTTTCAAAGAAATATTTAACAATAAAGCACTTTAAGATGTCCCCACATGTCTACATTTTTAAAATTTCTTATCCTTTAATTCATATTTCTTATCCTTTTTTTAATTTCTTATCCTTTATCTTTTGAAATCAAAGTAGTACTGCAGCAAAGTAGCACTAACCCATGTCCATCCAAACTGCCAGATAATAATCCATACCTCTGCATATCCCCTAATTCCTCATGTTTCAACTATTTATTGAAAATACACATCATCATGCAACAAATTAGAAAATGTGCATGTTCTTCTTAGGGTGAGGGACATCATCTTAATCATAACCAGGGGTCCACGGCACAGGCAGTCCAACAGCTAACCTAGAAGACTGTGTGGAAAATGCCTGCAGCCCCACTTGTTAGAATGAAGGAACCATACAGAGAGGTTCTCCAAGTACTGGCTCTGCAGGCCAGGCACAATCCAGATGAACAAGCCAAGTGGTTGCTACATTGCTGGAGAAAATTAACTTTAAAAGTAGATGAAAGAGGACTGTTGGATGGGTAAAAGAGGAGAGAGACAAGAAAGGAGGAGTCCCAGAGAGCAATGCAATACACTGTCATGCAAATATACTAGTACTAACAAGAGAAACTGAGAATATGGGGATTGGAAAGCATTCCCCACCTCTCATATGCCTTCATGCTTGAAACGAACAGGGAGCAGGGGACAGAAAATGACGTTCAGGTGCTGAGGAGTGCACACACTTGTCCTACTCAAAAGTTTCTGCCCTTACTTGTTCCTGAACTACCTAGTTAAAGAATTAGTTGGAGCCACTACTGACAATGACCTGCTCAGTGTTTAGTAGTTTACAATTCAAAGCATGATACAGAAAATCTAACAAGCCCTGATGACATTTGAAAGTACTGTCTTTCTACTTTTTTGGTGACTACACAGTACAAAAAAGTGACATAAGGAGCCAAATTAAGATAAACACCATTCTGCAAATTTCTGTATTCAAGTTTTTACAATCAGTTCTATTCCATAGTCACACAAATGCTTTTTGTGCTGACACTAATGTTTATGTTTAAAATTATCATGCATGCAATATGCACAAAAGCCACAAAAAGAACTACCAATATTTGTAACTTAATCCAGGATTTGAAACAAGCCTTGTAATCTATTTCCAATGGCATAATTACTGCACTAAAAAGCTTTATAATAAATGAAATAATCCTCTAGCAGAAAATGACTGTAGTATTCTAAACATTGCTTAGAGGGCTTTTCTGGTTTTTGCTGAACTCTCTTTAAGAAAAACTGTCTAATCAGTTTATCATTCTGAGTTTAAGTTAAATCATAATAGAATATCAGCTAGATCAGCTAGATATATATTTTTTTTTTCTCCTGAAAGAGATAAACTGTAAACCAATTTTTAAATCCCAATGGACTAACAATATTAACTAATATTGTTTTTATTGTTTGGTATTAACCAAAAAGTAATTTAAAAAAAAATTCTATGGGTGATAAACTACCACAGTCCAGTTCCCTATGGATTTGCATCTTTTGTCCAAGAAACTGCAGCTCATTCATCCCAATTTCTTGTTCATTATATTAGAAAAGGGGAAACCCCAACGGTGCGTCTCGCTCAGGGCACCACACCTGATAACTGGCTAAGCTGGCTGCTGCTGAACAGAATGTGTCAAAACTAAGTTTTCCCTGATTTCTCTTTTGTTTGAGAAGGAAATAAACCTAGTCTATCTCCTCTGAAAGTCAATTTTATCACCTCTAATACTTTATTCCTCTTTTGAGTTTAAAACTATCCCACCGAGAACAAAGCTTTGCTCCTTCAGAACTTCAGGCTAAGCAGCTGAGTATTTCACATACAAGCAAGTAATGTTCAGGTTTTCTTTCATTGACCAAGAAACAATGAAAAATACTGGAAAAATATTCTCACCTATTTTCTTATTTCGCTCTTCCCCACGACTGTGCGCAATAATCGGAGAATATATGAAGGGGCTTTTGGTTGACACATTCTGACCAAGCAGACTTTTCATTTTGTGAGGTCGGAGGCTGGTCGGGAGGTTCAAGAGTTTCACAGATCTGTTGAGTGAAAATAATTTTATAGATGGTTATGTTAAAAATGAACTGATAAATACTAAGTGACACCCTGAATAGGTACTGATTAAAATACCTGAAATGGAAAGTAATACCACCCCCAAGGAAACTAAAGGCAAAGTCTCAGAAAGCTCTCAGAAAACAACACCAAAGGAAAAACACCTTCTGTAGAAACCAACAAAATGAAAAGCAGCCAGGTCGGTGATTTGAAATCCAGCTATTAATTTCCAAGTTAAGTACAGACTGAACAACAGATACACCACAAGTCCAGTGCAGAAAGCAACCAAATATTTCACTTAAACCTAAACTAGAAGCCAGACAAAATTTCGTTGGACAACGTAATACAAATAAAGAACTTCTCCAAGGTGAATAAAATGGATTTTAAAACAGTTAAAATGCACAGAGTTGCTTCTGGAAGGAAGGAAAAGTCCCAGAAATTTGAGTGGGTTTGTTGAATGACCAGAAACCAATTACAAATAGAAAAAGAATGATTTATTAGACTATATCCCTGTTAGACCCAAATCCTTACAACACCATGCAGGGAAATCACTGGCCTTCACAACCACTGGCTGATGGGAAATTAAAGACTAAATATTGGGGCATAAGAACAAGCAATAAATTAGTGGCTATTCCATAAAAGTAGCAGCCTGTAAGGATCCTAGGTACTCAGAGTCAGGAAGGAGTGAGGGAAGGAAAACCAAAAGGTGAATAAAGGCACCATTCAGTATCATAGCTATTTTGCTACAGTCTCTGAAGCTTGAAGTATTTGTGCTTTTAATTAAGACTATCATCAAGAGACAAGAATCTCTCCTTTACAATCACTCATAGATTAAATCTCCAACTTCTTCAGAAATTGGTTTTCAAGTAAAAAATAATCCTGTAGAATAAAACTACAATTACTGCTAACAGCTAGAGGCATCCCACCGCACTGAGGTAGACAAGCAAGAATGAAATAAAATGCTTACAAAACTTGCCAGCAGTAAACTTTTTAGATACTTAAAGGTACAGTAGGGATGTACCAAGACGAACGACAGAGTCTAGCTAAAACCCTAGAAGACTTCTAAAACCAATTAAAAGGCCAAGTGCAAGAATGCTAGAAACCCCCAACCTGTTCAAAGATTAACTCCCTTCTTCTCCCCCTTCCCACATCCACCTCCCACAGTAAAACATCTCACTGGAATTCTTTGATAATGCCATAATAAACTAAAGAGGTTATAAATGTTACAGTACATGATTAAGCTGTCATGTTTTATGAAGTTCTTCAAATACTATGACAAGAGCACTGCAGCACTAAGAAAGAAATCTGCCTTCCTCAGCTGTAAAGGTCATAGAAACAACTTAAAATCAAGTGTCTTCACTTTGAAAAGCAGTTAAGTATTCTTTTACATGTTGAAACAGTTTTGCATCATTTACAGGATATAACTGAATTAATTCACTTGCTGAAGTTACAGAATTATACTTCATTTCAAAACAATAAACTATTACTGAGAACATGAAAATAATATACATGTGGGAAAATAATGGAAGATTGGTGAGGAGGATCGTAAACACGCTCAAGTGACTTGCAGTTGGAGTGTTGAAAAACATCTATGAACCCTTGCCATTCTGTGATACTAGTTGTTGTTTGGCCCTGTGCGTTGGACAAGTAGAACAACGGTGTTTAGATGATTGTGATAAACTCAGAGGCAGCCTATCGAACGTGCTTGAGATTTCTGCCCTGCTGTGGGAAAGATCAAAGCACAGTGGTAAACTACACCCGCATGTATCCTTGATTAACAGGCGAAAACAGCAGGTTCATTGATCCTCTAGTATGGACCGAGCTCCATGGTGCCAGTGTCCCCTCCTGTCTGCCTCTGCCCGGGTGCTGCTTCAGGGATCCCCCGGTTGGCAAAGTAACAAAAATAAATCTACTCTTTGCATTTCATCCACGGTTTTGTGGTTATTCCTGCGTTCTACCTGTGCTGGCCCACAGTAAGTCCGCAGCACATTAAAGAACAGTTTTATCAATAGCCCACTAATAAAAAGTACATAGATACAAGAAAATAATTTGGTTTAAAAATGACCCCAGTCATTCAAGATAACGTGCTACTGCTGAAAAGTAATGAAGATGTAAGAGTACCACTACACAGACACGTGAACTCTGTGATACAAAACACCTCACAAGAAGTTACTAGACAATACTAAAAAGATTTCGGAACAAGAAATAAACCACATCCATGTATTATCTGTTGGTGATACTTAAGTGTCAGCATCACAAATGCAAAATAACAGACAACGAGCCTGAGGAATAGAGAGAAACGATGACAGATTCCTGAATATTTCATATTTTCAAGCTTCTTCCAATAGAATTTTGCTGCAAATTAAAGCAAAACATATGAATGATGCTTGAGGAAATAAACATCAAATTTGATAAAGGGCTAATAAAAAGGAATTTTATTTTATACGTAGAAAGAGGTGCTCTGGCTCCTTCATCATTATTATGTAAATACTCATGGATAACCTTTTTTATCTTAATGCATGACAGTGGAAGGAATTTTCTTCAACCACATCTTAGACAGCTCTACCCTCACAGGCCATACATAGCACGTGGCAAAAATTTTAATTTCTTTGCGTGAAAAGCTTCAATAACATACATTTCCAGCCCCTGGCCCAGCCTGACTAATGCAAATGACTGACAATTAGGAATTACAAAATAATTTCACTAGCTACCCAGATAAAATCTTGTATTTGGAAAAAGTCATGTTTATTAAAAACAACCTTGCTTAGAGGAGAAATCAAAATATTTTTTTAAAAAAATAACTCTACTAAGTAAACAGAGGGAAGGAAAAAAATGCACCAAGTAATTTTATAGTAGAAAGAAAAATATATAACGATGACTAAAAGACATCAGTGGTGAAAAGGAAGAAATTCTTTCTTCTTTTAAGTACATTAATAAGAAAATCAGTTTTAACACAGGTAAATTATGAAAATGGAAATAGCGCATCTATTTGTACAGAAAGACAATGAAGTCTTCTATTTTTTAGTTGAGAAAATCATAGAATCATAGAACGTTTTGGGTTGGAAGGGACCTTTAGAGGTCATCTAGTCCAATCCCCCTGCAGTAAGCAGGGACACCGCTAACTAGATCAAGTGATGATGATCTAGATGATGATTTCATAGTATGCTATAATGGAATACTTTCTAATCCAACATGCTTTTGATTTCTAAATCTTCATGAAAAAAATAAAAATTTCCAGATTGCTTTACAGTATTTGAAATAGCAAAAAAAAAAAAATCCCAAAATTCAGAGGAGTAAAGAAAAAACCATATTTAAATATTACATTTTTAGCACATCAATAATAGACAAAGCATCTAGTTAAAAAACAGGATACACACAAAAAAACCCAAAGACTCTAAAGAATACCATACTTAAATAAAGGACAGCTAGACATTAAATACCAGTTAACCTGAGAAATGGAACACAAAGATTTTGCCAACCCAAATCTCTTTCTATTGCTTTATATGTATGAGAGGGAAAAAGGTAACAGTGCAACTATGTTCCGATTTCACTGTGGCATTTCAGTGTTTGACAGTATTTTGATTAAGAAATCTGCATCCAAAATAATCACCCCACATTAAATGGATTAAAAACTAGTAGACCATGAAATGCCAACAGTAAATAGAAGTCATCATCAGTAAATGTGTGTGCTTCTAGAGGGCTCTAGCATGGATTAGATCATAAGCTTAGGTTATTCAACATTGATCAAAACCACAGTTACGCACATTTATAATTTATGTCTCAAAAATTAACATGATTTAGCTCAAAGACCTCAGCTGTACTGCAGGACTGCAGTCTTCCAACCAGCTGGACAGGTCTGCAATCCACTAGGTCTGCTGTGTAGGCTTTATATTTAGATGCAACTAATATTTTGTTGGATTACAGATTTTTATCACTATGGCTTTTATAGAACTTTCAAAAGACACGAGAGGGAAGGGGAGAGAGGAGCACAAACAGCAATTCTTAGCTGTTAAGTAAAAGTTACGTTTTGCGAAATAAACCTGTTTGAGCTTGTCCTTCGTCTGGGTTAGTTTTAGTGTACCTCCATGACACGGTCACCTTCACGTATTGAGATGGGAACCTGCCTTCAGAATGTACTTAACCAGAGAATTCATCTAACACACAGCCACAGTTACATGAACTTGTCACTGGACATCTTTAAGGTCAATGGAAAATGAGTCAGTACAGTCCACCATACTCCTGTAATTGAACTCATCCTAAAGCAGATATCTAAATAAGGTTACAAAGACCTGGAATTGACTACCTAAGTGTCTTGACTGCAAATATGATCTAGGATAGTCAAACAGAACTAGTTCAGCTCTATACATAATTTTTTTGTGAAACTAAATCAACCCCAAGATCAGCCGATAATACATTACTCAGATAACTTTCCCACTGTAATATGTAGCTTTGGTTCTAACAGTTAAGGTTTTGGGATCATGTCCACATTGCATGTTTTCCAGCAAAGAAGTTGATACCAGCTGCAACTCCAAAGTATGCACTGCACCACCGAACAGGCAACACAAAGTAGGTATCTGCAAAGTCATCCGAGATGATTTGTCAGTGCTAACTGAATCCACTGAGGGGACAGTGCTGGAAGACCTCGGGGAAGATGCGTTTTCCCCCTGTGAGTACACATTAAAAGCGGGGTGATCCAGGTGGCTAGTCAGTGCACACACAGCTTTGTACTTGGTCCAGCCAGCAGAAAAAAAGACTGTTTCCAGGACACCACTGGCAACGGTGTGACCGTTCTGATTCCCCATACAATTCCATCTGACCGCATGCAGTCATATGCTCCAGTCAAACCTGTACTCAAGCAAGCACCGCCCACACAACAAATTGTTAGTGTGAATAGACCTATCATGTTAAATGCGCTACAAATAGACAAGGTCTCTTTCTTCACTGAATATGAAAAAAAAGAATTGAAGAAGTTAGTGAGAACACAGTAAAACTATGTTGTATCATGAAAAATTGTCATAGAGTAAAGCATTTTCATTTTAGAGACTAAAAGTAATCAGAAAATAAATATAATTTTCGCTCTCTGGCTATATACTTTATTATCAACTTGTGATACCAGAACTCTTGCTTCATGAAATGTTTGATGACATCCCACCGAGAACTCAAATCCCTACAAGAACTCTTTTCAATAACTTCTACTATATTTTTTTTCTGGAGAGCAATTATCTTTCCTTCAAAAAGCCATTTCTTGACAAAGACTTTCTTTTAGCCTTGCCTTTTATTATTGATGCCCCATGGCTGTTTTCTCTCTCTCTCTGACTGTCTCTAATACTTCATGCTAGGCTTTAATCTAAACAAGGTATTATTCATTGGACTGACTGCATGATGTGCCTTGGCACACAGGCACAAACAGGAACACAGATTTAGAATAGGCCAGTGAAGGTGCCAGCGTCAAAATGCGGCATCTGGAAAGGAACAGCTACAAAAGGCATCAGTTCCAGCTGAGTTCCAAGCTCCATGGATGGAGACAGCATCCAACTCGTGGACCTTCAGTATGATCAGGTATCTAACTTAAATTTCAGCTGCAATTACAAAATACTTTTCTTCGATGGTATCAGAAACTCTTGAATGACAGTTTAAAAAAACCCCAAAACTCTCTCCTTCTGAAACTAAAGGCCACAGAAAGTATTTTCTGCTCAAAGGCTCTATTTTTGCCTAAGAACTTCTCAAAACAATTTGACATTTTGACATTTTTCCACATTATTGTGAACAACTTACATAAACTGAGAAGACTACATCCTTCCAGTATCCTTTAAAATTTGACAGGTACTGGGGAAAAGTTAAAGATTGTATTTTAGAGTCTTACCTCACAATAGGCAATTTGGTGAACGGAACAGGAGGTAACTTCAAACCATCTGGAAGAGTGATGAATTCCATTGTACCAGGGCATTTTGCTGTGTAGCTTTCCAAACTCTGTGTTACATCTTTCTTTTCTAGAAAATAAATTTGTTTAAAATAAAATTTTAAAACTACTTCTAGCTTATATGAACAGAAGTTTAAGATGAAATTATAAAGGTTTACTTTTTTTTTTTTATATATACAAAATAACTCTAATGGCACGCCAACTAAGTTTTGCATATGATGCTTAGAGTTATGCTCCAAAAGCATTAATGGATGGATCAAATATAATTAAGTGACCTTAAGCAAGAGCACTGGAACAGGCTGCCCAGGGGGGCTTGTGGAGTCTCCTTCCCTGGAGATACTCAAAGCCCGCCTGGACAATGTCCTGTGCAACCTGGTCTGGGTGAGCCTGCTTAAGCAGGGGGGTTGGACTGGATGATCTCCAGAGGTCGCTTCCAACCCTTGCCATTCTGTGATTTTGTGTGATTCTGTGAAGACAGTTTTCTGGAGTTTTCAGAATTTTTAAAGTGTCAGTCTCTACCTGCTTTTTGGGTTTTTTTTCATTGTCAAGATAAAAATTTCCACAATTTATCTAGTAAATCTACATATCCAACACAGTTGGCCTCAAGCATGTTAACGTTATTAATAACAGCATTGTCATGTGAACAAGCCCTGTTCTGAAACATTAGCTGAAACAATAGCAAAGGCAAAGAGAAACAAATTACTTTTGATGTTACCTTGTGTTAAAAGGGTTTTTTTTTCATTGTCAAGATAAAAATTTCTACAATTTATCTAGTAAATCTACATATCCAACACAGTTGGCCTCAAGCATGTTAACGTTATTAATAACAGCATTGTCATGTGAACAAGCCCTGTTCTGAAACATTAGCTGAAACAATAGCAAAGGCAAAGAGAAACAAATTACTTTTGATGTTACCTTGTGTTAAAAGTACCTAATTCTTAAAATACTTGTACTATGTTACGCTACTAAATCATAACAACTGGTAAGAAAATTTTTCTTTCTTTTTGCTTAAAAATACAAGAACATTCAAACAAACATATGTTATTTGGGTTATCTTCAATAATGTATATAAATGCTTATGAATTTTATCCAACAATTATTTTCAACAATGTATACAATTGTGTCTCCAGAAAAAAATGTCTATTTGGAAATATATGGCCTGAACACCAAATTATAGTTCTCTGATGAAATGGGAGTCTGCAAACAGAAAGAAGCCTGAGAGTGTGTGTTTAGAGGGGAGAATAAGATAGCTGAAAAGTCTTAGGCCTATATTGTTTGAAAGCACAGTGAACATTCCTCCATGTATGTGCAACCAATAAAGTAACTATTCAATGACTAAACTGTTTCTAGAAAATACTTCAGAGATCAAAATATTCAATGATAAAACAAAATAGAAAAGGGAAGGGTGACAGTAAATACCGCTTTCAAAAAAAAACTGCTTAGGGTAGTGTGTTGGGTTTATGCAGCAAGGTTTCGGTAGCCAACAGTGCTGTGGGGGTGACCTTTGTGAGAAGAGACCAGGAGTAGCTCCGTGTCGGAGAAAGCCAGTCCCAGCCAACTCCAAAAGAGACCCACCGCTGCCCAAAGCTGGGCCCATCGGCTATGGTGGTGGCATCTGGTACCATTTTTAAGAAAGGGTAAAAAATTCTGCAGAGCAACTGTGAGAGGGAGGAGTGAGAAAAATATCCTGTAAACCATGCTCCTGCCCAAAACACTATCTTGGGCTTTGAAAGGCACAAACATCCGCTGATGTTTGCACTACCTGCATGAATCCAGCTTAGTCTGTAAGCTTCTTAGGCCACAAGTACATACTCTTTCAAAGCAAATAAACATTGACTGTGATCGCCTTCACTATGAAATTAATGCCACATAACTGACAAATTGCCTTCCTTGTGTCTCTATTTCACTGAACCATCTCTTGAGCCACCTACCACGTTTTACTGGCGTGTAGGAAATGTTCCCCAAAATGTTCCCAAATTATTAGACATACACATACACTCAGATCAGTGTAGCACAGTCAGGAGTTGTAGTGATTCGAGACTGTGTGTTTTCATAAAAAAATTCAGGCTACAGCATTTAGGTTGTTATTCGCCATGTTATGTGAGCAAGGGCACACAGTACAAGTAGAATCCACTGAGATGGAAAGCATCACAGCTACTAAGAATGAAGACAACAATACTACAGTATGCGCTTAATTCCGCTTGAAACCGGAGGTCTGTCATTCTGAAGAACTGCCTTTCATTTCCTAGTGTGAAACTGTCAATTATTGTATTCAAAGAAAGCGTGCTGCCACTCACAAAAAGAATTTGTTTATAGATTTGAGAGTCTCATTTTTATTTCACAGTAGAAGCTCAGCATGCTTTCTGCAAAGACAAGGCTAAAACAAGACATTTTTCTATGCTGATATTGTATGAAATACTGTTTAAAATGTGTTGCTGCCAAGCCAGCAGGCTATTACTTTTTACTTAGCACTGCATCTCAGCTGAGATGCTAAAGGAATCTACATCAATATCAAGCATTCATGATGCAAGAGCTGCATGATACTGTCTGATAGCCACTTCTGATAGCAAATTTTAGAGCCTTTCTCCCTTGACTGAGCACGTCCGCTCCCTGACCTCTGTGGTACGAATGAGTGATACAAATTACTTAGTCCAATTTGCAAAGCCCAATAGTTACCAAAAACCTACTACGTACTGCTATTTTCAAACAGCTCTGGATTTTCCTAGCATTTGCCTGGCTGTCATCGTGTTTTGACACAATCCGAAACTTCACCAACCTCCTGGGAGGTTCTATTCAACTACTAAGTCTCCTGACCCGTAGACCAACTGTGACTGAAACAGTTATCACCAGTACTTAATCTTTCTCTTTGCAAAGAAGAGAGAGAAAACAGCTACTCTTGGAGGTCTTTACCCACCTACTGTCTTCATGCTTGTATACGTAAGCAGGAAAGCGATCGCCACTTGATCCTTTGACCTGTGAATTCACCTCAACAGCTTTAAAAGCCTGCACTGCAGGTGGAAACACTACAGGATACCCTTGTGTAGGTGTTACAGACACTCATTTATTGACTGAGAAATAATGGGTTATTTTCTCATCTGGAATAAATACGTTCATGATTTTTTTCCCCCTCCAGTTTCTCTCCAGACCCATTGAAAGATCACGATCATAGAACAGCTACAGCCAAATAAAGCTGAACAAAGCCAGAGTCAGTATTGCCACCAGACCACAGACTTCTCAGTTTGTTCAATACAACCTCATCGTACAATTGCCCCATTTCACACCAAATTGTTTTAACTACCTTTTTTTGGCTGCTTTTGACAACTGAAAATTTTGCAAGTCCACCAATACTCTTGGTAATTTTTCGCTTAACTGCTTCATGCCAATGCAATGAACATTGATTTTGTCCCAAAGCTGCTTCAAACCTTTTTCTAATTTGAGAAGACAAAATCTAAAAGCTCCAGTTGCACAGTTAGAAACCATTTGTGATAGAAAGCTATCAAATGTGAAAAAGCAAACTCTTCCTGCTAGTTCCATAAGAATGTGAAGCAGTATTTCACAAAAATGGAGCTATTGAAAAATCAGACCAGGACAGGAAAGAAAGTCTGTTATAGACTAACATTTTTAAGCACTTCAGTAACCCCGATGTAACAGTATCACACAAACAGCATTTCACGCCTTGGCAGATAATGGAGAAAATCATAACACCACAATTGCTGTAACTGTACGTTTCAGCTCTTTAATATTTTAAGAAATATAAAATATCTGTGCTCAGCCTCAGTCACTACCCATTAAAAACAAAGTCAAATATTAAAAATACATTTGTTCTCTGGCAAACAACTGGTTGATCTTGTTTTGATCAAGTCATTGTGTCCCTTGCAGAACAAGCTACAGCAATGTAGAATGAAGAAAGGGAACAGTTTATGACTGACCTGCCGATTACACCGGAACACAAACAACTTTCTGTTTCCTTATGCAACTTGCTAAAATCTTGAAAAAGGAAGTTGGGAAACAAGTAGCTAAAAGCCTTCTGACTTCAATTTTCCCCTAGTAATAAGCCCAGAATCAAAGTTTTAACAAAAAAACCCCTATTACCCGGGGTTCTTTGTGCTGGCTGAGCTTTTTCTTCCCCCTTGAAAACAGCAAATAACGTTCACAAAGGTACCCAGCTCTCTCAGAAGCAGTCAAACATCTCCTTGATAAATTACTAGTAACATGTAACAAGATAGAAAAGTCAGTGTGACAGCAGAAAAAGCAAGAGAAACAGTAGTTTCTGCACCCAAAAACACAGGTATTTCCTTCACACACCAAAAAAAATCTGCTGCCAGGGAGATCTTCAGCATCACCCTGCCATTGAGACGCAGTGTAGTCTTTCAACTAAAAAAGAATTTCAAAAAGGCCACAAAATACATTAAGACCCTCACAAAAGCTGAAGTAGAAATTGAGTATTCACAGACAATAACCACTACAAGCTTTTTACCCTGAAGTTAATCACTAGATTATATCACATAGACAAATGTCTCCATGACCTTTCAGGTAGTCCCGGGGCTCTAGTTTCGGATAGATGCAGAAGCATCCTATTTGTACAGGCAGTACATCACTCCTCACTACCAGAAGCAAGCTGATGTTGTAAGTGAAGTGCCTTAGCAAGGCTTGCATGATCAATCCACTAATTCAGCATTTCAGTTGTTTAATTTAGCAGAACAGAGCAGGTCTGCTCTAATTTGCAGGCAAGCATCACCTGGTTTTCTATTACATTAAGTCTGATAGGTATTAGATGGCAGCATTTTCTACAGTTTTTGTAAACAAACAGCATCTCTGATTTTTTCTGAAAAATACATGGAGCAAGTAAGCACAACTGCACACAGCTCAGAGATCTTGAACAAGTTGCTCTGAAAGCAACACAAGGAATGCTGGGGTTTCATTCCCGTATTCTCTACTGCAAGAAAGCTCAGCACAAACCTATGTTTTTATACTGCCCTGAACAGCTACATTTCCGACTCATACCTATATTCATTAGGTCATCAGTTAGTCAGGAAGCACATGGAAGATGACTGGCCAACTGGATGACAA